AAGCTCCTCCTTACAAATGTCTGGGATATAAAAGGACCGGATTGGAGGTGAGGAGAGTCTAATCATCAAGCAACCTACTGGGCGGTCTGATTTCAACTAATCAACCTATCAACCGAGCAGTCGGAACAACCCGCAACGAATCGAGGAGTCGGGTAACCGGTCAGTCTGATCAACAATCAACCTACCGAGGAGTTGAACCAAAAAGCAATCAACTGAGGAGTCTGGCGACCAACCAACCAAGCAAACAACCAATCAATCAACCTATTGACCGAGGAATCAGACCAACCAATCAACCAACAACCAACCAGCCAATCATCCAACAAACAAATCAACTCAAACTAAACCAGGTAATCCAATTCCACGTTCAATCCAAGTTTCACAACAATGATAGGCATTCAAGAACCTCCTAATGCCGACGACGACGAAACATTAAACAATTTCAAATGAACTATTATTAAACAGGAAGGAAGATATCGTCAAGTACGTTGGCCTTGGAAGGATTCCGAGCATAAATTAAGCAACAATTATGGATTACGCGTTGACATTTAAAGAACTTAATCAAACGTTTACAAGACCGATCAAATCTTCATTTATACCATGAAACAATTAAAGATCAACAACGATCAAGCATAACGAGTACATCCTGGCGATGAAGTAGGCGTGTTATACATTATTTGCTACATCATGAAGTGCTAATTCCTGGCAAAGCTACAACCAAACTGAGGATTGACTATGATGATTTTGCGCATATCGGAGGATTTAAGAAATTCCTGAATGAAGTATTGTACCGAGGTCCAGTAATGTTACCAGATCTAGTAGGAGTACTGATACGTTTTCGCATGATGAGAATAATGCTAATCGTCGAAATCGAGAAAGCATTTTTGCAATTGGGGTTACACCCTGAAGAAAGGGATTGTACTCGTTTTCTTTGGCTAAATGAGATAGATAAAGCCGCAAACGATAAAAATATGAAGTGTTATCGTATTAAGAGAGTTCCTTTCGGGTCACTCTTTTTATTACCAGCTATACTGAATTATCATCTTGAGAATTATAGTAGCCTAATGTCATGCAAAATAAAAAAGAATCTGTATGTAGATAACATCGCCATATCTGCTGATGGTATGGAAGAAGCCCTACGTAAGTACGAGGAAACCAAGAGTATTTTTGGAGATGCTTCTATGAATATAGGGGAATTTCCTTCTAACGATGAAGAATTTAACGGGAGGATACCCGAATATGATCAAAGCAAAGCAAAGAAGGAAAATTTTCTCGGTCTAAAATGAATTCATGACATAGACATCATTCGTGTAACATTAAAACCGTGGATTGGAAAGAAGAATTTAACTAAAAGAACGATTCTACAATTCATTCATCACTATACAGCCTACTGGTTTCTCAGTTCCTTCGATAGTACTACTCAAGCTACTTATCCAACATTTATGGTAAGAAAATAAATCTTGGGACCAAGTTTTAAATGAAGAAGGACAACAATGGAATGCACTCATAACGGACTGGTCAAAAATGTAATAGATTTACGAAGATCTGTGATAGCATCTTCATTACAAATAGAAATCCACTATTTACAGACGCTTCAAATATGTATTCTGCAGCTGTGTATGATTCAATCCAGGAAACCAAAGTATCAATTCAGATTCATTTTTAATTTATGCCAAATCACGAACAGCTCCAATTAAAGGTATTTCTATACCTAGACTTGGGAGCGGCTCAGTTTGTACTAAAATAATTAGAAGTGAAAAACAGCTATATTGTAATTTGGTCAGATTATAAATGTGCTTTCTATTGGATCAAGAATTATGCGAAATTACTTCCACGATTTGTACGAAACCGAGTCAAAGAAATACGAGAGGTAAATTTTGTGCTTCGCTAATGTTATGAAAGTTTTGTGTGCTTCGAGGAGGGTTAGAGGATTGTATTTCCTTGAAAGAAGAATTGATCGTGATTTCGATCTGGTGGATTAAGCTCGAATTCCTGATTTCGATCTTGGTCTAGAATATTTGCTCCAGACACTGTTGAATTTGATGTGGTGACTACGCCAACAGATGTAGTTTATTGGATAGTACAGATATATTGACAATAACTGAAGTTGATTGTGCGTAAAGCTGCCACAAATTAACAATAATGATGTCTGGCCCCTGATTGAGATATTTAAATGCGTGAACAGGATGTGAATTTATGGGCGTATCTTGATACAATTAGATTAACTACAAAGATAGCTATGGAGAGGAATGATTTCAAACAAGAAGTTGTTAAGTCATGGCAATGAAATATGCAAATGAACATCTGGTGAAATATAGTGAGAATTTGCGAGTTACTAACAAAGAACAATGTCAAGCTAATTTACATTTCTCACAGATGATGAAATTTCAAATCCTTATCAGATTGTCAATCATTTGATCCTACATCTGTTAAAAAATCCAATTACTTGATTGTAGTTAGAGATTAATTTCGGATTTCCAACAACATACTAAGTGAACAAAATCCAGCAGATGTAGCTATTAAAGGGTCTCTCATTAAATAAATTCCGAAATCACGAACAATGGTGAAAAGGGCCTCAATGGTTAAAAAAAATCGGATTGGCCACAATGTAAATTTGAATATAGTCGCAATGATGAATTTGGAAAAGTGATTGTTATAAAAATTACAAAGGTAAGTCGAAACTTTGGAAGAACAATTCAATTCATTACCGTGGACCGTTTCAGTAAATTGATAAGATTATTGAGGACAACAGTTTGGGCTCCCCGACTTATTAAACTAATTCACAAACAAGAATTACCCTGATTGCGGTCGCTGTCTATTAAAGGTAATTACATAATCAAAATGATTGTGACACAGCAAAATGGTTACTGATCAGGCAAGCGCAATCGGAAGCAATAACAGAAATAAATATATGGAACTATACCAAGATGAAACCAGCAAATTATGGAGGTCAAGAAACCATCTAGAAAACTCAGAATTGGACGATGAAAGCAAATATCCCATCTATTTACAAATCGTAATAACAATAGCGAACTTGTCATTAAAAAGCAATATGAAGATTTATGTCACACGGGAATCGCTCACATTTTATGCGAGATAAGATGAAATTTTGTATACCAAAAGGAAGATCTGCAGTTAAACGCGTCATATCTTCAGGCATGGGTTGTAAGCGTTGGAGAGCTAAGCCATTCAAACTATCCATAATGCCAAACCTTCCAGAAACACGAGTGAAGCGGTCAAGAACTTCCAAGAAAGTTGGATTAGACTATATGGGTCCCCTTCCAATCAAATCTGATGGTGGAATAATTAAAACATGGATAGCTCTTTTCACATGTTTTACTACAAGAACGATACATCTTGAATTGTAGAAGACTTAATCGCCCAGAATTTTTTACACGTTCTAAGATTGCCGCTCGACGTGGATATTCAAAGATAGTTTTAAACGATAATGCCAGTCAATTTCAATCGGTATTTAAATTTATCATGGAAGAAAAAGTTAATTTCTTAGCAAAGAAAGGTATGGCGTGAAAAATACGATACCCAAAGCACCATAGGGTGGAGTGTATACGAACGACTTATCGGACTTAGTAAGAAGGCTCTAAGAAGAGCAATTGGGAGGAAATTTTTAAAGGAGCGAGAATTAATAACTTTGATAGCAGAAATAAGAATACTTGACACGCATCCATTAACATATGTAGGATCCGATAACTATAGAACTATTCGCCCAATTGATTTTATATTACCTTATGAGGAAGAATATACTCTTTATATGTTAAACATTAAGAACAAACTACACAAATATTGGTCCGACACTCTTACAGCATTATTTTTTGGAAAATATGGAAAGATGAATACATTGTTAGTTCTAGAGAGTGTACTCAAAAGGAATTGACTTCCTCTAGAGCTGTAGAAAAACGAACTCCATATGAGAACGAAGTAGTTTTGTTGAATGAACCTGAAACACTTCGTGGTATATGGAAACTAGCAAAAATAAAGGAAATCAAACGAGAAAGGGATGGAAAAATAAAAAAACACAACGATACAAATGCCAAATGGAAAAGTACTTGATAGATCGATAAATACGCTTTATCCCCTAGAAGTAAACAATTCAGAGAGTTTGGAAAATCAATCAATACCAATAGTAAAGGAACCAGAGGAAGAGCCGGTAGCTCTAAGAACAAGTGCGACAATACAGAAATCGAATTCAAACTTTACCTCTCAATAATTGCAATGTTCTTCAATCGGGAGTGTCAGGAAATCCGAATATTTGTAATAAAACTATTCATATAGATTGAGAGCATTTGTCATTGTTTTTTGTCTCTTACGTGACAAATGTAACGAATCAATCTTCTTTCCCATGATCTACTATTCTGATACCGCCCCTAATGTTGGATATACAAACACTGAAATACGGGGACCTGGCACTACTCACTCCTTTTGGCATTTCTTCATTTTTTCACATTTTTCAATGTCGTACGCTTATTCTTCTTTACTAGCCACTACCATCATATATCCTGCTGTCCATTTCATCTGTGGAATTATTGGGTAAAATTCCCAACTATAAAATAAATCTTGACAAATAATTTGTTGTAATCAACACCAACCAATCTACGCTTTTGCAATAGTGACATCCATCAAGAAGCGTTGTGTACAGGCACTTCAGTAACACTAAAAGTCAGACTAATTTTAATGCCCAATTATGTTAGGTTGTTAAAATTGTTAAGTTTTGTTTGTAAATCCATACCGTTTATGTATTTGAAGTATAAGATTTGGATTGTCGAACAATGCTGCAGCGCTCCAAAGTGAGCTATTCTGCAACATTCGTATATTTCATTTACAATAAAAGTGATTATTTTATGGTTCTACAGAAAGGATGTGTTACTATTCATAATAATTTACCTCAATCATCTTGTACATTCAGAAATTCTGAACTGTTAACAATAAAAACTAGGGAGAACATTCAAACTTATTTATATCAACATAAAATTGTTTGATTTTTCCCAAGATTTTTAGCATTATTCTTGGGGAATGTGCTATGAATAAATAAATAAATAGAAGAATATTTATTTATTAATTCACAATAACTCACTTTCACATCGTAACCACTTGCTTCCAACTCACTGCCAAAGCCACCATCCAAAACCTGGATTTTCTCCCATGTGGGACGCGCATCCATTCCCCCTGCAACACAAAAAAGAAATGGTGAAAAATTCAGCTTAGTCGTTTCAAATCATTGTTTATTAAACATCGTATATACCAAATACACTTTTCCTTTACCTGTCATATTCAGACATATGAAAAGATGGAAAATTACCAATCGAAATGATTTCCCGTGGCGGATTGGTGAATTCCGAGAACAGTATTCCGGATCGATGAATCCAAAAAGAAGAGCGGTGTTGCAAACTAATGAACTCCAAAAATGAAACGTAGGCAGCTGCTCTCGAGCAAAATACTGCATGAAATCAAAATCAATCACTTATAAACTCAATTAAAGCAGAATAATATATCGAAACAGATCACTATGAAAATGGAATGGACCGAACTGTTAGTTATTCAATATGAAGGAAAAAGAAAGAAATGAAATGGATTCAAAAATTTGAAAAATTCAAAGAAGTCAATTTGGCGCCGGTATAAGTGCCGAGAGAGAGAGAGAAGAATGTTTTGGAAGAGAGCGGTAGGATTACAAAAGGGTAGACGGTATCCTTGCAATGAACAATCAGAAATGACAGCGAGGTATATTTGTTTTTTCAAGTCAGTTGTTCTCCAACCGGGAGAAACATATTCAGGTCACAATCTGTTCTGGATATGGGTGATGGAAGTTCTGTAAAGTTTTCCAATATGGTTTCTTTCTGTGTTATTGGCTCATTTTCACCTGTAAACAAGTCATGTCTACAAATAAATGCATCATTTAATGGAAGTAACAATGAGAAAAATACGAATTGCCTTGAGGAATCTTCATGATTTCGATTTAATGCGAGCGTGCTCATTTGTCCTCATAAATTTTTCTAAACATGAATGATTTTAAGATAATCGATGCTGGTATCGATGAAGTCAAACTGCTATTGGAAATACGGAAACAGTATGAATCGTTTATCCCCACGTAGGCTTTTGATAAATTTACTGAGACTATACAATCGATAAGCAACTAATTATTGATTGTTCTTCCTTGAACAGTTTTATCATTAACATAAGTGAATAATGAATGATACATACCCTTCAGACAACTAGAGGGAACTAATAACAGCGTCGATAAAAATCAATAAAAAAATCCTGCTAGGCATTTTACATTGCATTCTATTGATTTCATCTTTTCTATTACAAATTACAATCATAATCATGGATAATCCAAACAATAATTCAATTAAACAGGACAATTCAGGCCTTCCCATATGGCCAATGTCCCATCTATATGATCACTAAATCTAAAAGTATACTAATTCATGGATTTTCTTCGTGAAAAATAGCAATAAGCTTCTCACATGACATAATATAGAAAAAGAAACAATTACACAGCAAGAGATAATATTGAGCTTTATGCAACTAACTAATTAACTGGTAAACAGAATGCCTCGTGCATTAAGTGAAATACAAACTGATTTCACATGGAGTAGTGCATAAAGCAATAAGATCGTTCAAATAATAAAATTGAATTTTCCTCACCATCAGAATGATTTTTTTTCACATATTAACAAATCTTTTTTTATTGTAATACAGTTTACAATACCGAAAAAATCCTGAAATTTTAAAATTAACAATAAAAAAAGTTGAGTTTTATTCTAAAATCTGGAAATTTTGAATCCGTAAACGGAGATTTAAAAAATTTTAGGATGTATTCGGAAGAGGAACGGAAATTTGTCAGAAATATAAGTATACGCAGAAACGGCATTCGTTTACAACAAATATTATATTGATGACATTTTGTCTGACAATAAGAATTCTAAAATTATTCATCAATCCTGAGAAGCTATGAGGACTGTTATCTTGTCCAAAGATGTGAATTCCATCAAGTTGAGCGTAGTAACGTGCGATATTAAACGGCTGGACAATTTATATCCAAAGATGCTGAAAACTTCGAGATTTTACAAATTAACGATAATTTGAATGAAAAGTTCATTTTAACAAATCAGAATTTACTGTTTTCTCAAATGGGAGTCGAATTGCAAAACTGCCGCAAAATGAAGCAATGCAACAATCCAAGTAAAATTATCATGCCATTTTTACCTTCCAGTATTTTTGGAGGAACAAGACTTGATATTTCAGTTCTGATGCATATTTGAATCTCTGATACCATAAATCGTAAATGCCGTACTTGGATTATAATGAGGCATAGCACATCCATTTGCCGTACCAATTGTTGCTTGGAGTTCCGGACTAGGTAAGCCTAGCATAGCTAAATCATTGTCTGTTGGATGAAGTGGATACCAATGCGAAGTACCATCCAAAATATACGGATCTGTAGAATACAACAATTTCTATCAATAAATGAAAAGTGCTTGCTGTTACAGACTAATTTTCTGTCCTCTATGAATTTCAAAAAAGGAAGGCACAACATAAACCAATATGTGATAAGCCCTTATAATATTTAATTAAAATCACCTGAAAGACTGATGACAAGTTTTCCTAAAGCGTTGTTATCATTGAGTTTGTCGTAATCCCACACCGTAAATTCCAGATAATGACTGTACAGTTCATGAAACGGTACTGTATATTCCAGCGTTTGATCCCATACTGGGTCTGAGGTATTTGGCACGAATTTAGTTCGACGCTTGCTAGATACTCTGAAAATTATATATCTAAGGTATTTATACTGACTGCATCTCTCTGCAAATTTTTTTGATATATTAAGGAATAACATGAAGTGCATCAAATAACTCTATAGGTTATTGCTGTAGTATTTACCTTCTTCCAGGTAACAAGTAAACCTTGACGAAAGGATTCGGATAAAATGTTACATTACAATACTGACGATACACGAGGCTCTTAGCCGAAAGCACTGTTACCATAAGTGTTGATGTTGACCTGTTATATGCTAGGGCCACGTTCAAATAACCCAACATATCAGGCTAAAAACAGAGATACACGCAAAAATACAAATTTTCAAAAGAGCATCGCAAGATCTTATTGTTTATATTTTATGTTAAATATAAGCTTTGACTTTTCAGTCTTTCACTCTTCCGCTTCTAAATCAGAAAAGTTCGCTGAGTAGAATGGCTAAAATGATATAGAATCTTGAAAAAATCATTTAATCCAAATCTCCTTTATTTAGTGAAAATTATCCTTTAACTTCAACTCAAAATATTATCCAAACCTACTCTATCATGCTTGCTCCAGATGAAAATCAATTAAAAGTAACGGTAAGAGATCAAGAAATAATATATAATCAAGTTGACCTGCTGCATATTACGTTGTAACGAGATTGCTTTACTGTTCAATGATGGTTTCAAAGCAGCATAAGAATCTGAAGAAAGAGAAGTTTGACCATCTGTGTAACGATGTGCTGGTACTGGAGGGGCTTCTGATTTCTGCGAGTGATCGCGTGTTTCATCTGTAAAGAATCACTGAAAGATATCTTTAAGCACTATGTATAAATACAATATTTTAAGAAAAATCCATACCATGTTTTCGTTCTCGTCTGTTTTTTTGCTTTTCAGTGCCTTTACTTCTCCCAAGATCGTTCGATGTCACATGCATACTACTTATCGGATTGCTTCAAAATTAAAACGTTAACCAAAAAAGAATTTATCTACAAATGATCTTCTAAGATAAACTGTTGCAGATACAAGTATTAAAATATTCTAAAGAGTACTGCTTTATCACAGAACCAATTGATATCTTTTCAATACTTCGAATTATCAAAGCGTCACAGAACATTCCTATAACTGCTTAGAGCATAGCAATTCATTTTCCTTCAGCACAGTATATAGCTAAATTAATTGTTGTGAATCAAAAACGCTTTATCAGATAATTATAGAATATCAGAATAAAGCTGATTTCCAGCATTTCTTGAACAGTATTGCTAATTAAGTGAAGGCATAAAATATCAGCAACCTCGCAACAACTACTTCAATTTCACCCCGACTGGCGGCTATCACTTGCTCCACTTCCTCAAATGTTTTTCCAGTTAATAAGACACCATTCCATTCCAGTACACGGTCTCCTGAATAAGATTACAAAATACATTTTCGTCGAATCATTGAAAAATGTGTCGTGTAATGCTATAAAATGAAGCTAATGAATCTGTTTTCTTTTTCTTTAATTGAAACATATTCTAAATTTGTCATGTTAATATTACATCAGGAAAAAAACGGAACTGAAAATTTACTTTCAACCTTTTTGTGAAATATTTATTTCATCTAAGATGAACAATGCAAACATGTAACCTAACGATAAACTGCTAATGATTCGAGTGGTATGACTGGGATAAATTATATATGGAATTTCTTGGACGACATTTACAATATCTGTGGCCTGTCTATACTATTTTATTGTTGTATTAATTAGGGATTTCTATAATCACTTTAAGCACTGCTCACTAATACAATTTAACATCTCATACTGCTTGAAATTGTTGCGCGTTCAATATCACTCAATATGAAGTATTCAAATTAATTTGGAAAGAAACAATATTTAATAGATGGTGAAATTACTAAACTCCTTGTTGTATATGAAAATTAATTATTAGTGAATTTTAACCTTCCTTTATTTCGCCTAATATTTCTCGAGCCTTTCCGCGATTTACTGATGATACAAAAGCTGCAAGTTCACCATTTGGGAGTTTTTTACCACCTACTATTCGAACACCAATGTCTGCAAAGCACTTATTAAATTGCTATTAACCGTAAATTATAAATTTTAAAAGTTAAATTTCACTTATTTATTCTTAGGAGTCATTTTGCGATTCAACATAAGTTTTCTCAAATTTTTGAAAGGTTAGATTCCACATTTATAAAGAGCTACCACTAATATTTTTATAATTGCAATTACACCACCAGAAAATTCTTGTAGTGAAAAATTATTTATTATACTATGTTATATTTTGTTTTTTAGTCATGTAAACTTCTTAAAAAATCTGATTGTTCAATATTTCGAAAATAAAAACCATTGTAAACATTGGTGTCATGATATTTGCGTGCTAGCAAAATCTTTTTAATGTTTGCCCGATATATCTGGTCGTGTTGTGCTATGGCAGCAGCTGTTCCATCGCTATCATCGGATGAATGCCTTGACTGATTTCCAGTTAATTCTTTTACCTGTTAATATCTATATTAGATTTCACGAAATCATAAACTAATTGTAACTAATAACATACTGTCTTTAAAAATGCACACTTCATTATCAGATATATCAACATCAAAAAGAAATTAAACTGCTTCATCGGTCATTTGATGGTTTCAAATACTTAAGATGATCAAAGTAACAATCTCTTCTCGCTGATCTCTGTGTGACAAAGCATGCATGAATATATTAGCTTGAAGAAATGTGAATATTTCAGTTGCAGAAATCAATTTTTGGTTTGTCAAAATTAAAGAGTGTTGTTGGTTATTACAAAAATTAAATTACACCAATTCACTCCATGACTTCTGACTTTTTCCAGTATATTAATCTAATAAAGGTAAAAAAGAGATTTTAGAGGTAATAAAGGTAAAAAAAGAAACTTAACATCCAAAAGTTTTTTGAGCATTACAGACTAAGCGCAATGTATAGAATATGGTTATAAAACGTTAAATTTTTCCTGATTTTCAAGAACAAACAGAAACCTACTTGATTTCTTCGCATCTTTCTTTCGTGACGTCCAAGTGCAGAGACGTGATTGCAATCACCTGAATGAATATGTCAGCTGAACAGTTAAATTTGAAAGCACGTGTGAATGTCAACAGAATGAAATTTCTTAGAAATGAGAAATGCATGATATGAACTGGCTAAGCATTCAGTTTGACCCAAATTTTCAAATTAAATAGCGACTTCTCGATTTTTGTACACTTTGACCTCATTCAAAAAATTAATAAATATTTTTTCACTTTATGCATATTTGTCAATTGAAGTATGATTTTTCTGAACTTCTTCATATTTTCAAAAAATTTTGCCTAAATAAGCATGGCTTGTTTGCACGATTATTTAGGTGTTTTAATTTGACAGTGTTTTAATTCAATTCCTGAAACATAATTTTCAAAGACATCTAATGAATTAGTCCTTTACATTTCTCATTTTCCGAGACAATGCAATTATGAAATTAATTCTACCGTACTGAAACTAAAACGCTACACTGCAAAAAACTTGCAACTTCATTTCAAAAATAAATTTCAATAGCTGCATAGAATAAATACAATTGTCGCAACTGCTATTGTTATATCAACATAAGAATAAATCAATATGAATTTTAGTGCAATAATCGAAAAACAATTTCATTTAACCTAATGAATTAAATGATAAATTATATTACTTTGTGTTATTAATAAAATATATAAAAATCACAATAACTCTAAAACCAACATAAGCAACAATTGCACTTCACAAAGTTTCTTTTTTATTCATTGATGAAATGAATTACAAAAAGAAGTTATAACATAACGATTAATTTCATGCCAGCAGACTAAAAGTTGAATTGAAATGCGCAGGATTGAGCAGAATGATACTGGTCATCATCGCAAAAACCATAATATAACTTCAATATCACATGTTATTCATTTTTCAGTATATAAACCATCGGATATTAACTTCTTACATAATTTAACAAATAATTTAAACTGTCTACAAACGGATTATAAAATAACATGTTCATTTTCACAGTTGGAAAATGACTTTTCAAACTATCATATCAACAATTTCTTGAGGACCCAAAATTTCTGAAAATGTTGAGTTCATAAGATAAAGAGGACTAAGGTATTAAAAGATTCACACTATTTCTGTGACTGAAATTGATAGCTCAAAGTGACCACGTCATTTTTGATGTTAAACTTCGTTTGCACCATCTTATTTCTGGAAATTCTAATTAACAGTACACCTCCTATTTTTGTTTAATTGAACTCAACATTTTCAACTATTTCTGAAGAATCAACATTCACTTTAAGACTTTCAATATCTTCTGAGGAAGAATCTTTGCATCGTAAACTTAATGATACCTTCCAAAGTATCAGTTGACTTAAACGTTTTAAATAACTTCATTATTTTTCAATGATCAATCAAATTTCAGATTGGTTAATTAGAGCTTTCAGCTCTAATTTCTACTTTTTTCTAAAATTTATTCACGAAAGTGAACCTGGAAAAAATAACTCTTTAAAAAAAACCCGATCAATAATTTGATTGACCTTGGAATAACCTTTCAAAAAATGAAAGAAAAATACCCTAATTATACTACTTTTTTTACATTACTGAGATGCGGTAACATGTATTAGCAAGATAACTTTTTTTGCAAGCAATGATTTGTTCATCAATCAAAAACTGAATCAAATAATAATTTAATAGTTCAACAAAGAACGCAGAGTTAATCCAACATTTTCAATATATTCAGATAGGCGAACAAAAACAGAAAAAAAAGATAAATCTGTACACACATTATCATAAAGAATCGAAAAGAAGGAACAAATAAATAACATGAATCACAATGACGAAACACAAGTTAATTTGAGATTTCATTTAAATTTAAACTTCATATCCGAAAATGATATGGATGCTAAAGCTGCATGTTTTGAAATAAATAAATTCGAGAATTTTTTAAGAGCGCCCAATAATGACACTGCTCTGCAATAACTAAAATTTGTTAATAAATTGTAATAAACTTTTTTGGTAACAAATATTACACTGCAAAATAACAGATCCCTTCCACACATAATAAAAATTCTTTATGTCTGAGTGGAATCCAGTTTAAATCATTTAACTTTTTTAACTATAACTTCTAAAAATTGATCCATTATTGCAGTTCCATTCATTCACCTGTCTTTAACTCTTTCTACAGCAGAACCTATGCAGATAGGAAGTGGGAAAGATGATTGAGAGATTTAGATTGTTCACACAAACTACAGAAGATGAAGACAGGAATATTAAAAACAATACAGCAATCCATTCTGAAGAATGGGAATTACAAATGAATCTGAAAACACAGCGTTGCTAGAAGTTTTAGTGCATACATCGTTAAACAAGCCACAAAAAAAAGCAAAAAACAACATAAATGAGAGAAAATCATAAATTCATTCATTGTATTTCACTTTGTTTTTTTACAAAACGATAAACCGCACCATAGAAAACAGCTTAAAGTTCAAAATTTTTCGCAACATGCAAAACTAATGCGACATTTAAAAGATCTAAAAGGAAGAAAATTCATTCTTCAAATATCAGTGCTTCTAAAGGTTGCAGAAAGAATCACACCTTCACGATGGTGACGACACGGTAATTCACACTAATGTATTGCAATCCTTGTGATGTTGAAACCACATAAGTTGATATTCTCGATGTCACAGGTTTTTAAGTCACAATTCTATTCAATGACTGACTATCATAGAGTGGAAGAAGTAAACATTAAGTATGCACGAGAAACTCGTCGATATCCTGAGCATTATGTGGTATGGGAGGTGACAACACATGCAAAACCAATGAATATATGAGCATTAGATGGAAGAATGAGATGTTTAAAAACATAAAATCCTGCTGAAGCTATCTATTATCTATATTACCATGTTTGAAGATCGTGAAGTTGAAAGATGAAATATTAAAAAAAAGCTCAAAATGGAGTTTGGAAATTGTGCTATGAAGCAAGACATTGAATAACAATATTTGGGACAACATCATTAGTATTAGATGATTTCAAACAAACAAAAATGACAAAGCATCCGAGATCACTAACGGATTTAACGAGAAATGTGGGAAAATAATAAGCTGGTGTTGAGTGTCACAAAATGATTAAAACTGAAACTTCCATTTTTCAAGTGATATCCATTAAATTAGAATCCTCGCAAATACATTTGAAAATAAGTTATCGGAGATTTGATAAAACCTAGCAGAAGAAATAATCCATGATAATTTCTCGATAATAATTGATCAGTAGAATTTAGCTCCTGTTACGCAGAAGATCGAAAAAAATGAAGAACAGTGTAAAAACCGTAGATTTTGCAGTAACTTTAACATGTAAAGTTCAGTTTTCAACCTATGAATATATAAGTGAGGTCGCACCATTACCGTAATGTTGTGGACGCATGAAACGTTGATTGTTCAGTGTTGTATACATGCGATTGAGAGCATCTTTCGGATAAACGGCATCATAATTGTTTATTGGAATATTCCCATTGGACCATGCTCTAACTGCATGGCTAGGTCGTTGAGAGGTTGGCGGATAGTTATTCGGAAATACGGATGGTTGATTTGGTGAATAAGGTAGTTCACCAGCGCTGAGATAACGGTTACCTGGGTGATATTGGGTGGAATAAGGAAGATAAGGATAGTGACTTCTTACAGCATAGTTTCTGTTTGAAGAGTCCCGCAATTGATGAACTGCTCTATCCCGATAATAATTACCATACTCGGTAGCGTAATGAGACGGTCTTGAGCCGTAGTTTGCGTCGTTTCTACTATATACCTGACCAAAAAGAGATGAAGTTCCAGGGAGAATATTTGGTGTCATAGGAAAATGGCTGGAATAATGATGTGGTAGTACTACTGCATTATTATCAAGTGCACTATTATTCGCGTAGGAGAGTTGCGGCTGACACCAAGGCCAGTTTTCATAATGATCACTTTGCGCATATGAAGGAAAATTTACGTAAGGACCAGGAATAATAGGACGCTGAATTGGTTGATCTGGTTGTAAGCATGCTGAATCAATCTCCATAGAAGGCAATGGATCTTCATAATTTGCCATAGGTAGTGCTTGACCACTGGTGGTAGAAGATCTATATCGAGGCATAGAGTAGGGACGTTTTTTGGCTTGATTGAAGTGCATCCGCTCCTCCGCTGGATAACCGCTCATAAGCCTCTGTTGATCAGTTATAAATTGATTACTCAGGTAATTTGCATATTGCGAGATAATATCAGTATTAGGTAGACCTTGAGAACCATAAAAATTATGCCCTCGTGCAACAGGCATATACTGAGGTCTATACAAATCATCATATGCAACATTCATTAATGGACGTCCAAAAGTTACATTTGACTCCGGAAGTCGTTGATATGATAACCATGGATCTAAATAATTCATAGACCGAGTGGCATAAAGCCTCGTTCTGGAATCCAGAATAGGATCTTCCGCAGCAGAAAGATTCACATTATGCCAGGATCTTGAAAGAGCATCATAACGTCCTGTTGGAATTGGGAGTGACTGGTAATAATCATTTTGAGAATCACTACAACTTCGCTCAGTATAACGCTCATAGTTGCGTGGAAGTGATCCGTACCCGAATGAAGATCCGCTACGATTACGATTTATGTAATCTCGCCGGTTTGATCGAGGAGAACTTTTTGTCGGGAAATCGATTCTTGGCAAAGATCCGTAATGTGGAACAGTGGATGAATAATCGGAAGTAGGATGAGTAATTGGGAAACTGGATGGTGAATATAAGTCAATCATAGACGAAATCTTTTCTTTCCTCTGCGCGAGTTCATCCATAACTCTCTGCTTTCTGGTTTCCCTATTTACTGGATCATCGTCACTAAAAGCAAAACGATTTTTCAACCGTCGTCCGTGTTCCTGGAGCTGTCTATCATATTCTGCGAAATATTTTGCCGTAGACTCCAACAAATTTGGTTCCGAAGACGAAAACATGTTTCTGGCTGAGTTACGGTGACGGCGACCGGATGATCGGTTGCTATGAGTTTCATAGGTCATGGTGCCATTTGTTTGCGTTTCCGTGGACCGGAAGCGTGGTTGCAGCGCAACTGTTGCATCAGTATTGATTGAGAATGGATCGAGCCGATCGTGTTTCATTTGCCGTCTGAGTGAAGTAGTAGTTGCATGAGAGACTGAGCTAGGTATGGCAGTGTATGCGGTAGCAAAAGAACTTTCTGACTGAACTCCAACCGATTTCAATTTCGGTTCTAAACAAAAGTCGTCGGTGGAAATGCCCACTTCTTGCTTTCTACTTTGAATCGAAGATGAAGAAGGTGGAATAGAAGAACGTTCAGGCACCGGTGTGGTCGTTAATGAGGTTGTCGTACTAGGTACTTCACTTGGTACCACACGAGCACCACTGATAAGTTCAACAGGCAATAGACAGGGTATCACATTAGGAATATTATCGATGTCAACAGAACGATATTCAGGCAAAAGCCCAGTAATAAGCATTCGATGCACGATATATTGCCTCTGATTAGCCTCTATTTCACAGGCTTCCAAGGATTCTCGTCTTCTTTCCAAGACCTCCTTCAGTTCCTTTTTCAGCAACACTCGAGCAAGTGGACTGGGCATTTTAGTACCCAGCACTGATGACCGATCACCCGCTGCAGCAGTTGTCTGTCGAAGGAGTAATTTGGGTTTTGCATTAACGATTGCTGCTCCGGGAAGGATGGCGGGATCTACCGTGCGACAATAGGCGGTTGACGAAGAAGACGGCAATGATAAATTGCTCAGAGAGGCAATACGAGAAGTGGGTTGTGGGTAGGCACGAGAATCCTGAGCGTGATATTGTCGATCGGGAGACGGGGATACGACTGGGGCGCTTGATGTGAGGTAGACCGGAGCGGGAGGCGTTTCGCTGACCTTCTCTGCACGTTGCGTTGGTATCGAAGGCAGCTTTCGTCGTCCCATCTCCAGAGATGTCGAACATTGTACATCATCCTGTAAACATCTTCATTATCCATGGCACTTTCTATGATAGGTCTCAAGTATTTGATACCCATTATAAAAATTATTACAATTTATGGCACTCTTTACATAAAATGTCAAGGAACTACTTAAATTTATTTTATTCCATATAATGTATAATTAAGAAAAAATACTACATATTATCAATACGCTTCACAAGACGTTGATTCAAAGAAAATTTCCTAAGATGTTTGCATTTTTTCCCAACATTTCGCAAATCCTTCGTTGTTTAGCAATCCCACCCCAAATGATTATCGTAGATCATCCGTCGTTCGTTTCTGGGACCAGAGATGAAGAATAAAGGCTTTCAAGCCTTCCGCACAAATTGTGACTAATTTCACTCATTTGAAACAGCATATAAAGAAGCATTGGAAAAAGTAAGGTTTTGGTTGTCATACTTCTTAAATATTTTACAGATGATTTCTAAGAACCACTAAATAACAGAATATTTTCTGCGAAGAAATTGGGAAACTAGTAATATCTTATTATCCTTAAACTTTTGAAATATCATCATATAAACCTCGCAAGATTTAAAAATCACTAATGAAAATATCTCTTCATTCAAGGACTGTTTAATTTGCAATTTTAATTGCTTTCTAAAAAAAATGGAAACTGAAACACCTAACAACGATGCCCAGAACGTTATCATCTACCGAAATTTAAAACTTTGAATTGCTTGCATTATCTCTTTGGTGATCCACTACCACACATTATGTCTAAAAGACATGTAAACAGTATCATAGTTCCCACTCGTTCATTTGCATCATATCAAATAATTCTAATTCTTAATTATAAAAGTAACAATCGAATATAAATTATACTGGACATCAGTAAATTTATAATGCATAGGAACAAAAATCGGGATGAACTAGGCGCGAATGTTTTGATAGCATTATTCGGAAAATTTTCATAATTTTATCTGAGACATTCTCGAATGTATAATTTTTTTTTTTAAATTGAACTATATTGCTGCAGAACATTTAGCCTAAGCAGAAAACGATGAGAGAAAAAGAAAAGTATTTTGAAAAGTAGTTTGCGATTGCTGTTATTATTAAATAGAGTTGGAAGACTATGCAGCTAAGGCTTTGCTAGCAAGCAACC